TATTTGCTACGCTGTCTGTTTATCTTGAAGAAGTGAACACACGTAATGGAAGGTGCGAGGAACAGCGGCATAGTCTTCAAAAATGTGCACTGTTGATTGCGGCATGTAGTGTGCATTGAAAGGTATTGAGAATATCGGTTCAACTGAGAATATCGTGTGTGGTGTGTGCAGTGTCCATAACAATGTGTCTTGTTTGCCAAGACGTTAGCACTCAGGGCAGGGACCGGTCGATGAAAAAACTTGATTCGACATTTTAGTCAAGGTAAATACGCACTTGACGCGACCATCTGCGAGTGGGTACATCTCGGTGTTTGCGCTGTGTGTAGAAAAAAATTGCATGGTCACCGGGCAGGAAGATACCTTGTTTGTGCTGAAACAGCCAAACACCTGATGAGTTAGATGAGAAATATTAACGCATCAAAACTATAAGTGCCTGCATCAGCAACTACACAACAGCGTGATAACCGCACCCCTGCCACACAGCAGCGAAACATATTTTGAACATGCTGGCAGTGTATTATTTTATAAAAAGCAACTCTGGCAGATTACAAAATCTCACATTGTGCATGCAAGTTTTCTTCAAAGTCAGGCGTACAATGTAGGTGCTGGCCGGTACATTATTAGTTACAAGCAAAAGCGTCTTGCAGGTACATATGCAGATTGCACGAACACCTCTCTCTCTCTCTCTACACTAGGTACACACATTATATCTTTTAACAAGCACACACCACTGTTTAGGGGCATAATAACGCTCTACCGTGAACGCATGCTAATCAACCCACTTAGGCGGTTGGCTAGGTGAATCGAGCCAAGTTACAAATTGTATCGCCCGCGAACGTAAACAAAATGCTGCTTTGCATCAAATGGCACTGCAGGCTACGTTTAATCAACAACGTAGCAAGCGCCATGTGCGTCTTCCTCACTACATTGCACATATGAAAAAAACGGTCACCATACACATGCATGTTGCCGCAGTTGTCTCGAATTAGCTCCAGTAAGGCCGCGCCGATGCCCAATGGCTCTGCTGGCGTTAGCGTTGTCAAAGCGAATCGGCAACCGCACTCGCAAAGGCGCGTAAGGTTGCCGTTTCACGACGCCTCGTTCGAGTGCAGCAACACACACTTGCACTGAGTGGCGTACTTCGTCTACATAAAAAAGTGTCCTCCTTACCTTTAGTTTCTTTCACACTGTCCTGAGGGAAGCAACCACAGGCGTCAGCCGTCACCTCGGAGTCCTTCGAGCGCCCGCCCAACCCGCCGATTCCTTGGACGACTCGCACTTGATCCGCACTCGAACAACCGCGGGAATAGGGCGCAATCTTAGCACATCTTACGAACGATGAACGGCCCTTCCTTGCGTAAATTTAACATTTCGTGCTCTCGTGTGTTGCAGCGCGAACACATGAGAGATGCCACGAAACGGTATGCCTACGTTAACAAAGAAGACAAACAACATGTGGCTTTAGCTGTGAATGGATTTGACTTGGATATCTGTGTGAGGAAAATAAAAAAAAACATCTGTCGCTGCTATAAACTGAAAAAAAGTACGTTATCTGGCAAAATAACTTTAAAAGTGATAAATGGTTATTCAAAAACAAGTTACAACTTATGAATATTTTCAAAGGTCTGTTTTGTTTTTGTTCTAGCAGACGACAGCCTCCTACTGCTTCTACGACTAACGTAGTGCGGTTTCACGTTCGGTGCGTGTCGCCGACGCAAAGCTCTACAGTAGTGTTATCAGAGTTATCAACTCTCAATGAATCATAGGATGGCTACAAAGCAGTAACATTCTGACATAGTGCAGTACGCATTCTTTCAAGGTATGACATTTCTTTGCTCTGAAGCAAATCGAAGCAAGCCGGCCGGCGCAATCAGCTGACATCGCCGCTACGCGAGGCATGGTCGTGCGCAATAGCATCGCGCCCCGCGCTCGATTTGTCATCAAGCGATAGAGCTACTAAGTGGAATACAGCTAGATGCAGGGATTAATGGCGTATCACTCTAATTCTTTGTGGTGGCCGACTCAATCGCAAGAGAGCCCCGGGAAACAACCTTCAACTGCTCAAGCTTGTGTGAGGGTGTAAAAATACTTCTTTTCATCCGCGGCGGGGCAGCAATCTATAGTTGAAAGACATGCGAAAAGCATGTGACGTATATACAATCATAAAACACATGTACACAACAATAGATACGATCGCATATCGTACATAAATATGCGAACACATAGCGTGTAAAAAACAAATTTATATACATAACTTAAACGCACACCACCCCCCACCGCGATTAGCTTATCAAGCTAACGTCCTCAGTTCACGTACACGAGCTCAACTGAGTGGCGCAGGTTCGAGTCCCGCCAAGTCAATTTTTTTGGTTTTTTTTCAACGTTTTTATTGTACTGCTATCTTTTCTAATGCCTTAGGTTCTAAAACAAAATAAAAAGCAATATTGCGTTCAAGTACGTATGTGGGACTGTTTTTTGCACAACAGTTATTAGTATTTTTATTTTCATTATTATTTTTCAATTTATTTTATAATATACCAAAAGGAAGGACTAAGGGGAACATTGGGTCTGCTTGATTGTGAAGGGACTCGAGAAGTGAGATAACTCAAACCAAAAAATTTACTTGAGATAAAACTGAGCATTTCACAGCCGGACCAGTTTCTTCAAGGGTAGGCCCTAGGTATGCGCGAGACTTGCTATATGACTCATCTCAAGCTGTGGCAGCTGAGGGAAGGCGATATCACCGAGAAGCAGTTCCAAAATATATTTTGGTTGATGTTTTTTGATTCCTCCAAAATAAGGGCTGCACAATTGTGATCGAGCCAAACCAAGAATTGCGGGCACGAAGTCATGAGACCGAAAATGAATAACGTTGATTGTTTGAAAAATTGCCTTTAATAAAAGGAAGAGTTATGGAGTGCTACGTAGCTAAACTCGCAGTAGGAATTATATATATACATATAGATAGTTTAAAATGGACAATGTTGCACACACAGATATTGGTTATATTTCTTTGCAGCACAGTTGAAGTATCTACGTAGAACTGAAGCATCGAAAGAAGCTCATGCGTCCTCACTTTATTGCGCTTTACATAGCTTGTAGCGTCCATGCAGCCATGATATGATATATTTTAAAGCATTTGTTTAACCTATAATCTTCTTATTCATTAAAGCTGGCCCATATGTTGTGTCTTATGTAGCACTACAATTAAAGCGTAATCTGCATGGTGGTCTGAAACAATGCTTTTGAAAATGTCAAAACAACCCAGCTCTATACACGACCATCCGAGCATCAATGATAAGCACCAATATATGTCCGTGCATATCAGTTGTGCTCTCATACTTATTTATTTTTCTGACCACTCCCTCTGCCCTACCTCGTTTCTGTCGTGAAGCTGTGGCAAGTTGTGTATAGCTGTATTTATAGTGTAGGAGCACATACTATCAATAAAAATTATTTTTAGGCTACATGCAATTAGTTTTAATAGATTTTCATTTCTTTTGTCGGAGCTCAGGAGAGCTAAGCTCATGGTCGATATTTTAAAATGACATTTCTCTTTGCCAATGTTAATGAGAACAGTTTCATTAATATTGACAAGTTCTTTCACATTGAATTTAGTTCTCATTATTATTGCTTCTACCAAAAAACAAGCCCTTGAAGTTATGCTTTTTTGCTTGATTTGTTTTCGTGTGACAGCATGCAAGTAAATTGACAGTCATTGTCATTCCTTGTGAATGACACATTTTCCGTTTGACAGACTTAGCACCTGGTCATCTGCAGAAGTTGTATTCATTCTGGAAAAGGGCGAACAGCGGTGACTACAACACAGACTAGCCTGCGTTATTCTTTTGTACTATACATGTCACTGTGAATTCATTTAAAACTTTATAGAGCTCGGATTTCCTGCTGAAAATGTGACAACAACTGTACAGTTTCCACATTTTTGCAACAATCCACATGCCTTTCATACACTATTGCACATTTTCGTAAGCACCTTACAAAATCTGTATATTTCTGTAAGACCTTACATTCTGCATTTTCCTTATGAGAGCTTCTGTACACTCCATACACTTTCCTTATCCTTCCATATCCTCCATAATGAACTCTCCGTATGCTCCATAAGTTTCCTTATCTTTCCGTATACTCCATAAAAAGCGTTCCGTATACGCCATACAATTCCCTTATCCTTCCGTATACTCCATACGAAGCGTTCCGTAAATGCCATACAACTTCCGTATATTTCCATAAAACTCCTTATGTTTTCCGTATGTAGCATAAGGAAATGTTACGGAGTCCATATATTTTCCGTAAGATTTCATACGGAACGTTTCAGTAGGGTAGCCTTTAGGAAACGCTGATAAACATTCTCGGAACTAGAAATTCTAGGATTAGCACTCTGCAGAGCCGCCGAAAACATGTGTTGCCCGATTAAGTCATCTTCGACAAATGCATGGTTGACTTCTTCGGCGAAGCTCACTGGGGCTTCCGTTTTCGGCCCGCAACAACTTGCTGTCTGTATCTTTCCCGTAGTTGACACGCCAACCGCGTGAGATAAATGAGCATGATTCAACTCTTACTATTACTGATCGAGGGTTAAGAAGGCGTGGAGCCGAGCGCTAAAACGCACATCAATCACTTCTCGAGCTTAGCCTGATTTAAAATTCACAAAATGGGGATTACGAAAAGACATATAGACAAAAGAAAACCTTTTTACAGTAGTATTGACTGTTTTTTTATTTGTAAAAACTTCTGAAAGCCACAAAAAATGTGAACATTCACATCATGCCCGTTTCGTTCAACCGGATTTTAGGATGCCCGGCAACTGGTATGGGCGCGCATCTTTTTGAATCCGAAACTAGCGCTGAGTTTGCGGGGCCTGTGTGTACTCTCTCTCTGTCTGTTGTCGTCGTCACACCTTACACATTAAATATGTTGAGTGTTGTGCTATGTCGCATGCTGAGCGAGCGCAGAGCGAGCCGCAAGTTTAATCACTCTTGCAGTGGCCTGCCCGAGCCATGGCCCAGCTTCTAGACTACGTCACTTTCTTGGTGCTGACTGGAACCGGCCTCGCAGTGGGGGCCTACTTTTCCATTCACGCGAATGGACAAGCTCCGAGAAGTACGCATGAGGTCTTTCTAGGCAGCAAGTCACTGCGGATGCTCCCCTTGGCGATGTCCGTGCTGGCTACCGTCGGTTCAGCGACAGGCATTATTGGTCTCCCGGCGCATATGTACGCGTACGGTTGGCACATTGGTTGGCTTTCCGTCTCAAACATCATCTTAATTCCTCTTGGTGCCAGCGTCGTCATGCCGGTTTTGTACAAGCTCAACATCACTTCCGTCTTTCAGGTGAGTTCTACGTGTACGGAGCTCCCCACACATGTTGGCAGTCGTAGCGCACGGCAGTCATATTTCTTCTTTTTAGGGTCATTTTACGTGGAGTCAAAGTTTCAGCCGCGACATAAAGACACAATTTTTTTCAATAAGAAGCGTAGAGGGCGCGCGCACTTCAACTAGTCAATTATTCACATTGCTCGTCTTATTATTAATATATACCATCATCTTCCTCTTTATTGCGAAAGCAATAGCTGCGTTAGTTCAGCGTGTCTTGGTGTACCCCTGCCAACATAGCATACAACTACTGCGACACCTTTGTTGTATGCGGACTGCAAGCTTCCATAGCTATTTATTTCTGAATATAGAGTGCAAGACTGGGAAATAATATCGTGAATTAGTGTCACGATAAGATGCAAGATACTTGGGCATGAAGTATATTGAATACAGATTCAAGATTCAACCGGGATAAGTGTATATAATATACTCCCCAATTGCATTTTAAGGTGCTTCAGTACATTTGCAATTTTAGTATTACATATTATATAACAACACACGTGAATGTACAACCTCCTTTTTTAAGATAATTAAATATATCTTTGTATGCCAAAACTATTGCCTGTTTTCTGAAGGTCTTCTGGTTGCGTATCAAAAAAAATTCGTTATAATTAATTTGGCTGCTTAAAATGCTAGAACAACGTTCAGGCGTGAGCATAAATGTGCAGACCATGGGATCGCGTGGCCCATGGCATCGATTGGATACCTGTTGACGAGACGCCTGCAGCGGTGCGTATGTGCGTCCTGTCGCATCAGTTCGCCTCCCACCTTGCACTCTCCGAGGCGCTCTTAGCCAAAACAACACGTGGGCTTCGCTGTCTTCGTTGTATACGATTTTGCAGTTTCCATTCTTTTTTTTTTCGAAGTGACTGCAATGGCGCCGCTTTCAGCACCAGACTATTGAAGCTATTTATATCGTTGTATTCGCTTAACAAGCGTGGCCAGCTTCACGAAACCTGATGAGGCCAAGCACAAAAATTAAGCTTTCTCACCTCAGCTTGTCTTTGTTGCTTTAGGTCTAGTTGAACTTAACGAAGTTGAACCTAGTTGAGTTAATGTAAGTGTATCCAAATCTAATCTAGCCTATAGTTGTGCGCGGTATCACCTGATCAGTTTTAGGGCATAAACAAGTTTAAGCAAAGTCCAGGTTGCTCGTTTTATGTTAAGCGTAGTAGAGTTTGGATACGCTCAGTTGGGTTGAGAAAAATAAACGTACAGACAAATCCAATTATGGCTAGTTCATCATGCTCTTGTTACATTTAACCGAGCAAAACTAGCCAAAATAAGGCAAGCGTTGTCCGGGCCAGTTAATTCAAGTAGACGTGCCCATGAGCTTTGAGGCGCCAAACCCTGAGTTATACTAATTACTTCTTACTGACACCATTACAATTAAGTTCATTTATGTACAAGTAGGGTTAGTTAGGACGCACACAAGTTATGATTGAATATTTATTTTGATATTCAATCACACACAAAATATACTGATGTTTCACGTGGCATAATTAGGTTACTTATGCATAACCGAGGTGATAAGGCAGCACCGAGGTAAGCATAAAAAATTAAGTGTGGTCAATTGCGACATCGTCAATGTAGTCTGATTTTTATTAAAAGTAATAAACAAGTTCTAATGAAATTAAGGTAAAGTATTTGAAGTTGACTTTCTATGTGCTCAGAGAATCAAAGCTGAAAAGGACTACTTACTAATCCCTCTGTCAAGTTTTATTAGGCTATACTACATCTAATTACCCTAAAAACTAAATTTATTTATGTCTACGTGCTTGTTGCACTTTTTCTCATAACGAAGCCTCATTTAGGTTCAGCCCTGCCACGTTGGTCTAATGACTAAGATACTCGGCTGCTCACACGCAGACAGCGGAATCGAATCCCGGCTGTGGAGGCTGCATTTCCGATGGAGACTGAAACGCTGTAGGCCAGTGAGCTTAGCTTTGCGTGCGTGGTAATGAACCCCAGGTGGTCAAAATTTCCGGAGCCCTCCGCTATACGGCGTCTCTAATAATCATTAGGTGGTTTGGGACGTTAAACCTCACATATCAATCAATCAATCAATCAATTAGGTCTAACATGGCCAAACCCGACAAAGGCAAGCTGAGCTGAGAAAACCTAAATTTGTGTGCTCGGCTTCATTCGTTTTTCAAGGCTGGCTACTTTTAGTTGCGCTAATAAACTGGTATAAATACTGACTCCATTCCTGCACTGAAACCAGCGCCGTCGCAACCACTACGTGAAAAAAAGAAAAAAATTTGCAGATCTCCCCAGAAGGAATCGATAATATGCGAAGCTCGAAAAATGACGGTCGTTATGTCACTTTAAAGTCAGTACAATGTCACAAGGTGGACGTAAATTATACCGTAATTGACTTCCACATCCTGATTATTATGATATAACTTCTCATTTACCTTTGTCGTCTGTTCACGTCTCGTGATACAAAGTTTGGTATATTTGGAGCTAGTGGAATGGCCGCGAGCAGGCTATGAGGGTAGCACATAGTCATGTTTTACATGAGACGCATGTCATGATTATCATGTTTGGACACATCATTTCCTTTTGGTGTGCATTCGTGTACCATGATACCAAATTTGGTATATGTGGAGCTTGTAAGATGGCCGCGAGCGTGCTATTAGCTTAGCAAGCAGTCATGTTGTTCATGACACACTTGTCATGATTGTCACGTTTGCACGTGTCATTTACCTTTATCGTCCATACACGTCACGTAAAACCAAGTTTTGTGTATGCGGAGCTAGCAAACCGGTCACCAGCCCTCTATGTGCGTAGCATGTGGTCATGTTTCACATGACACGCATATCATAATTATATTGTTTGGACATGTAATTTATCTTCGTCGTCCATAGCCATCATGTAACACGAAATTTGATATATGTGAAGCTAGCAAAACAGCTAAGAGTGCATCATGAGCGCGGTATGTAGTCACGATCTTTGATTACACCCATATCATGATTGTAGTATTTGCACCAGTCATATACCTTTCTGGTCAATTCACGTCACGTAACACCAAATTTGGTATTTCTGACCCTAGCTACACGGCCGTAAGCGCGCTATGAGCGTAGCATGTAATCATGTTCAAAAGGCATGCATATCATGATTTCCATATTAGTGCCTTTCACATGTGTTCACCATGCATTCATGTCATACCGTAGAAGTTTCGCAATATGTTATGTCAATGAAAATACCGTAAGAGCAGCAAGACCATGAAATGTAAATCATGACCTTTATTACATACAGATAATTATTTTCATGTTATAACAAGTCACCTATGCTCGTCAAACAGTCATATTATGCCATGCAAATTTTTGGTATCAATACTGTAGCGAAGCCTCCAAACTCTGAAACGGGTTATCTCTCGAGTACCTTATAGCGCGGCTACCCAGAAAGGACGCCGCTCGCGCTGTGAGTCCGGGCTTAGGCGTGACTGGCGCCATAGCATATGATCGCTGATTGCCGGTTAATAAACGCCTTAACAAAGTCATGGAGAGTGCTGCGTTCCCTTTCGATGCCCTTGAAGCTTTGATCACGTACCCTGCATTCTACCATGCCCCACGACTCCTCTCAGCAAACGCCCCCTCCCGTGCCGCCCCCTTGTCCCGGTGTCCCCAGGATCCGCGATCCACCCGTCTTCACTGGCACCGATGGCACTGACGTGGAGGACTGGCTTGCCATTTACGAGCGCGTGAACGTCCCTCGAAAATGGGATGAGGACGGCAAGTTGACAAACTCGGTGTTCTACCTTGCGGGCATAGCCATTTTGTGGTACAAAAACCACGCGTCTGGCTTTGGAACATGGTCCAATTTCAAGACCACTGTAATCAACCTTCTGGGCCGCCATGCCATTCGTAAGCTCCAAGCCGAGCAGCGCTTACGTTAACGTGCTCATCAGGCTGCTGAGTCATTCACCAGCTATAGTGAAGATGTCCTGGACTTGCACAACAAATCCAACTACAGCATGTGTGAGTTTTACAAGATCCGAAACGTCATGAAAGACATTGGCGATGATGCCTTCACGACGCTGCTCGCTAAAAACCCTGGCACAGTGACTGAGGTCATTACACTGTGCCAGAGCTGCGAGGCGCTCCGCCGGCAGCGTTAGATGACCATTCGCTCCCCACCCAAGCTGCAACGCTTGCTGGCTTCAAGGCTAGCTGTGACCAAGTGGTGTTGCTGGCAGACCTCAAGTACTTCATACGCGAGGAAATTGCAGGCCAGTTCTTTCTCCTGCCATTTGCCAACCCACCGGCTCTTCAAAAATCGGCCACTACCCTACTGAAACGTTCCGTATTAAATCTTACGGAAAATATATGGACTCCGTAACATTTCCTTATGCTACATACGGAAAAAATATGGAGTTTTATGGAATATAACAGAAGTTGTATGGCATTTACGGAACGCTTCTTATGGAGTATATGGAAGGATAAGGAAATTGTATGGCGTTTACGGAAGGCTTTTTATGGAGTATACAGAAAGATAAGGAAAATGTATGCCATATATGGAACGCTTTTTATGGAGTATATGGAAGGATAAGGAAGTTTTATGGCGTGGATGGAGTGAGTTTTATGGAAAATATAAAAAGATAAGGAAACTTATGGAGCATACGGAGAGCTCATTATGGAAGATATGCAAGGATAAGGAAAGTGTATGGAGTGTACAGAAGCTTTTATAAGGAAATTGCAGAATGTAGGGTCTTACGAAAATATACAGATTTTGTAAAGTTCTTACGAAAATGTGCAATAGTGTATGCAAGGCATGTGGATTGTTGCAAAACTGTGGAAAATCTACAGTTGTTGTCACATTTTCAGCAGGAAATCTGAGCTCTATAATGTTATAAATGAATGCACAGTGACATATATAGTACAAAAGAATAATGCAGGTTAGTGTGTGTTGTCAGTCACCACTGTTCGCCCTTTTCCAGAATGAATACAACTTTG